GAAAGTACTCGTCGTGGACTTCCTGCGATTCCAGAAGAATCGACATTCACGCCCTGAGCCCCATTAGCTGGGGAGTACCACAGCAAAAGCAAGTATACCGAAGGTGAGTATGTGATCCCAAATGAGAAACGCTAAGCGCAGTGAGTTGAAGTTGACAAACAGGAGTCGAAAACCTACAGATGCCGACGAGATGAAAATAATTCTGGAAGCGTCTGAGGCCGGGTCAGAACAGCGAGTGGGATCAGGAGTGTAGACATTACATTGCCGCAGCGCTGGTTTCGGCGTTTATCGCCATCCTTCTCAAAAGGACAAGTATGATCGTGGGGTGAAGATGAGGGAGGTGCGCTGCGGCGACATGGCACCGTGAAGAATCTTGAAAGGGTCAGAGAAATGGAGGAACGGGTGTGACGGTTGCCGGCCCCATTCTTACTATCGCCTTGCACGTTTATCGTTTCGCTGAGAAGCCCTAGTGTGTACCATGTGCAAGCGACGTGAAGATATCGGCATCGAGGAGGATAGGGTCGGGTGGATCAGTCAGCTGTGGCCGAGCGTGTGAATCAAGAGCTGGGACTGATAGCGCGGACAACGACAGCGTAATGATTCTGAAAGACGTGACGCCAACCATTTTTCAAGTGCGAGATTTGTGGAGAGTCTTCATGCCTTGAGAACCCGGGCGTTTCCGAGGCTGTGGTGAGGTTTATGAACGTTTGCGTTGCGAGCTTATTAACGATGAGAACTTTCTCTCGAGTATTTGTGGCCATGCAAGACAGTTGATGATGATAGCAGAGGTAACGAAGGCAAAATGAAGGCGACGATTCATGGGAAGTCTCCAGAGTCTCGATGAGAGGCTCGCTGGTTCAGGAAGAGTACCGTGGACATGTGGTGGTGGAAAGAGAAGGATGCCGAGACCAAATCAGATCAAAGACATGCAAATCCAAACAGCATGGTCCGTGCGCTCTCAGTCCGATCGGGTTGCAGTCAATGCTCATAAGATTTGCACAAGTCCCTGCTTCCTGAGTGAGAGTGAGTAGGCAGCCAGGCTCGTGGCCGGAGAGGCCCAGTAAAACATTGAATAACAGACTGGTGCCACAGAGGCCCTCAGCCTGCTGACCTCTCTTTGAGGAGCAATAACGGATTGCACGATGGAAAGGGGCGGGACCCGGAAAGGCCTTGATGCGGCGGCATGCGTCATCGCTGGCGTCAAATACGTGTTACGTCAGCATTTGGTCAGCATCAGACGCGTCTGCGGCGGCGTCTCTTTCCTCCCTCCCTCCCTCCCTCCCTCCCTTCCTCTCCTTCCTCTTTCACGAACCAAACACTCCTTCCTCTACCTTAATATATCTATAATGGCCCGCAAATCCAAACCCCGCATCTCGGACGAGGAGGCAGCGCGTATTGCCCTGGCCGAAGCGGACGAGGCCAAGCGCGCTCTCATGACCATGTCTCTAGAAGGCATCTTCCATCACAAGAAGATTCTTCAGCCAACCCTCAACTTCCACAACCGCCTAAAGAAGCTGTGGGGACTGTTTTCGGACAAGTTTTACGAACCGCAGGAGGGAGAGATGAAGTTGGCGATAGAGATCGTGCCTGGAGCAGCACTCCCACCGCAGCGTGCGTCATCCCACACGCCATTTTTCTCACCTCACGTCTTCCAGGAGCCTTCAAAGAGTTCGTTCGATGGCTCGGCTACACCTTACAGGGCCGTATCGAAAAATTTGTCGTCAAAGGACTCGGAACCATCCAAGGCTACATCTTCACCCTTTTTGCCGTATGGAACCAATATGCAGGCGTCGTTCTCTCCAAGGAGTACCGTCAGCAAATCCTCGCCTTTTTTCATTCGCGCGAGTTTGATGACACCTCCAAACTGTCCACCAAGTCCCGCGAGAAACCTATTGCCGATGTTGTAGACGTGGCGATCCTCATCCTTGGCATACTGCGCGACAAGAAGGTCTTCAAGACCCAACGTTCTCGCATCGACGCCATTTACGCGACTCTTATATGTTGCCTATCCTCTGAGCGAATCGGCGCGCTGGTCGAATCAAGCTCGTATCGCAAGTCCAACGAGGCGTTGACGTGGGGCGACCACGAATTTTGGGCTCTCCCGAACCCAGCAGCTCCTCGTCGTCCGCGTATCGCCCTCGTGCTCAAGCCCCAGCTGCTCAAAGGGTTTCGCTACGACGACTCCAAGTTTAAGATGTTTTGTCTTCTTGCCGAACGGGCTGACCAGCGCGAGACCGATGCCATGATGTATTCTCTCGTTTCCGCGCTCAAGGACGACATCTTTGTCGGTATCAAGACGGCCGACGAGATTTTTTTCCCAGAGGAGCCGTGCACCATCGCCCACAAACTGACCATCAAGGAATCGGCCAAGACGATGCTGGTGTTCCGGAAGACTGTCTTTGAAGAAGGCCGATACACCACTTCCGACACGCTCGCGATGCCTTATGGGATGGCGACGAGGAACCTTCGGGAGGTCGGGTTGCGGTTGGGCTTTGAAGGCAAGTCGCTTCAACTTTTTTCTGGTCTTGTATTGATCATTTGACATAGACATGCTGACGTGGTACTGCTTCCGCCGGTGCTCCGCCAACAATCTCAATGCATCGGTCTCGCAAAGTGACCGTGAGCTGCTTATGGGCCACACCGAAGAATCCGGTATCTTTTCGGCAAGTCGTCCCACCAGTCAATTGCCCGTCTGCTAATACACATACAGAAAGCGTACCAGTCGAGGATGTCGACCGTGGATCTCAGTGCCGTTCTGGCTGGTCGCCACGAGGAGAACGAGGTCAATACGGACATCATGAAGGTTCGTGCTTTTGTTCTTTTCATCTACTCGGTTTTGACGGCTGTAGACCATCCGCGGAATGTCAAAGACGCGAGATGAGAACGCGCCAATCTCGCTCAACGCTGCGGAGCGGATGGAGCTTTTCATGGACGAGGAGCTGGTCGAGTTCCGTGCGGAAAAGGCCAAGGTTTGTTCATCCACTTCTTCTGTGGTCTGCCATCTGACGAGATCGATCCAGCTTCCGAGCCTCATCGTTGCTTTCAGCCTCTGAAATACAAGTGCTCCAGTTGTCAAAGATCATTTCCCGACATCGCCGTCCATTTCCAGCGCATAGGAGCAGCTTCCCAATGCCAGGCGAAACTATGATTGACCGCGGTGGACAAAAATCATTTAGTTTTTTTGAGGGCCTGTTTTTTCGCCCAATGTCATAGATTGATGTATTTCTTTGAAGATCTACAGCTTTTCACATAGATCCTCAAATCTGAGGTGCTTTTTTATGTACCCACCTTTTTTTTTCCAGGGAGAAATCAGAGAAACACATCAATCTGTGTAGAATGAGTGGCTGTGCAAAAACACATAGATCTTCAAAGATCTTGACCGTCTCTTTTTTTCTCTTGGAGGACCTTTTTATTTTTGGCTATCCCAATGTTGGCCGGGCTCTCATCAGGCCGATGTGATGCCCGATGCCTTCTAAATGTTCCCATCAACCTGACTGTGTGCCTGCCGGGGTCATCTATCAGCAAATCAAAGGCAGTCGGCAGCCGGCTCGGCAAGTGGGGGGGAAAAAAAGAGATCAGTATGTAGATCTCCACCCACTAGTCTTTTTTTTTCATTCACTGACCTCTTTTTGTTTGAAGGACATCAAAAAATAAAAGGCATCAGAAATAAAAAAGAGGGGTCGTCTTCGAGGATCTTCGAAGATCTTTGATCACAATGTCATTTTTTCCGTGATGGCGGGAAAAACATGTAGATTCACGGAGATCTATGAATATGACTGCTCTCATTGCACAAAAATGCCACCATACAGAAAAGGACACCATTTTTGTCCACCCCGGACAGTCAAACGAAACGGTTCCAGGTCCGATCTGACGACGGCAGTTATGGCCCGATAACCAATGTGCTCCCCTCTCTTCCGTCCACCGCCGGCCCCTCCCAGTGTTGGCCCTAAGGCCTAAGGCCTGAGGTTCGTCCTAAGGCCTTAGGCCTTAATTAAGCCCTGAGGCTAAGCCTTAGCTTGGAGCCTGGTTTTCAACCTAAGGCCTAAGGCTTACCAATGGGATCAATTTTGATGGATCGGCATCCGGCAAACACCCGGCACTCCTGTTCATCCCAGTGTGAGTTGTTGCTCCTGATAGGGATATTGTCTATAGCTCACAGATGACACACTTGCCCGTTTTGAGTTGGTTTTGAGCTCCATAGCTGTTGCTTGAATGGTTCCAGTTGGTCTGTGTATGATGAGAAATTATTTCCTTTTTGGGATCTAAGGGCTGAGGCTGCCTAAGCCCTAAGGTCTTAACCTAAGGCCTAAGGCCTTAATTATTCGGAGGGTCTATAATTAAGGCCTTAGGGCCATCACTGGCCCCTCCTCGTCCTCATGAACCCACACTCATTTACTGCGCCACCTTCCGTTGCTTTACCTCGCATCGCTTACACTCCTTTCCGCTCTCCTTTGCGTGCGCTACCTGTATCTCAATACGCTATTACGAATTAAATGACAATCACGTGACTTTACCAATGCATCCTCGCATCCGAACGCGTGACTTTACCATCGCATTGGGCACTCCGCACTAGAATAAGAATCTGTCTGCGTGGATCGTCGTTGTAGTACATATACACTCTCTATGCTAGCACGTCCTTGTTAGGCTGCGCGTCGTCTGGGCTCTGGTTCGCCACTTGAGTTGCGGCGTTGTTGGCGTCGGAGGTCTGCGCGTCGGAGGTCTGCGCGTCGGAGGTCTGCTCCTGAGTCCTCGTTCTGCTCCTCGCTCGCGTCTGCAGCCGGCGCGTTGTCTTTGGTCTCGTTAGCCGTTGGTAGACTTGATCGGGGGTCATGGGCGGCTGGAGACGCAAACGTTCGATCTGGGCACTGGAGAGTTGGAGGAGAAGACGGAGGTCCTTGCGGAATTTCTGAGATGCTCATTGCTGGGCTCGAGCCGAGGAGGTCCCACCCTCGGATGACGCCACTGTTGGAGCGAGGTGTGTACCCTTCACCTGCAGTCATGGTTCGATGGTGTAGTTGGTTTATCACTTCTGCTTTACATCACGTTATCGCAGGCGGTCGTCGGTTCGAGCCCGGCTCGAATCATTCGTTTTACTCTTTTACATCCTGAGTTGCACGCACCCATTTGGCAAGGGCAGCGTTTCTACAATCTACCCCAGAATGCATTCGGTATTCGTGATAAACGCGTAAGATTGCTTGACTACCCACTAATTATTGTGTGCCGATCCGTCCCACGAAACGATTCGCTAAGTAATAGTCATCTCCAGAACGGACGGCCATGTGCATGGGCGGCGATGCGCCTGGCCTGACGACGGCTCAACTAGGTCGAATGGGTACCGTTCCTAGTTGTTTGCGCTGACTTCGTGGAACCTATACCGCATGAAGCGAGAGCTACTGTTAAGACCGCCGAATGCCGAATGTCGATCGTCGTTCTCGTTCTGGCAGCGGTGGGTTAAAGAAGCATGTATAGTATGAGTCGTTGTCTATTACCTTACCTCCAAGTAACTCCTGAGTCCTAAAGAGCTCAGAAATACTTGCAAGTACACTTATTGACTCGAGATCTTCAAGACCGTAATACTACCACCGTCCGTTGCATTCCGCCATTTCCATCCCAATTGGGCCATTTTCGCCTCGGAAAACCACGGAACTTGCGCGCTCCGTCAGGGGCATCAGTGATGCTCCGAAGAATTAGACTCGTTGCAGTGGATCGCCTGGACGGCTGGAACCGCTTGTTTTGTGCATTCACGAGGTGAGTCTTACCGTGGTACATCTATGCAGCATCTGTGCAGCAACCCGTTGATAGCCGCGTTAGACGGACGGGACCGCAGGAGCAACGGCTGATCCCAACCTGATCCGTACATATTGTTTTTGGCGTCCTCAGCGCAACGCAGGAAATCTAATAGGAGGCTCACGTCCCAGGCGTCTACTGATACCCCACTGGACCTCCTGAGTGTGAGGCTCGAGCCCACCTCTTTACGTTTTAGCTTTTATGACGACACAACAGATTGTAACCGCAATGGCATGGGCTGCCACGGGACACAAGAGAGAGCATGGCTCGACTAACTGCCTCTTTTCCCGTCATGTGTATCCCCGGTCATGCGAAGATGGACCTCCTTGATTTACGTCAAATGTTTTAGAACACGTTAGGGTTGGACCGTCGTATAAAGGATGGCGAGACTCCCTCCAAAACCTTAGGCATCTCTCCGGTACCTCTCTCCATAATGCGCGCTTCCACATTCACCCTCGTCATCTCTGCCATCCTCCTCCCCTTTGCCGCTGCCGTTCCTGCAGCGCGCGCCCCCACTGACCGTGTCCTCACACCAGGTGGCTTCCGCGCCGCCTCCAACATTACTGTCATCCCCACTGGTGGCAGTCTCGCGCACGTCGGCTCCGAAATCCACGTCTTTGACTCGACGGGCAAGGTCGTTAGCAAGCACGCTGCTACCCGGCAACCTACCAAGACTACGCCCGTGGCCCCTGAGGAAACTGGCTGGTGCGTTACCCATGACCGTCGGGCGCTACGGCTAATCCATTTTCAACAGGGTTGCGGACGCCAACTGGTTTAACAACGGCGTGCCGATCGGGTCGTTCAAGACGACGTGGAGTGTTCCGGCTGTGCCTGCGTCCTGGGTCGGCCAGACGATCTTCTTGTTCAACTCGATCGAACCTGGGACTTTCGATGCTATTATGCAGCCCGTTCTTCAGGTTCGTGTCTATGACGATTCTATGACTCCCTCTAACGTGTCTATCGTAGTACGGAGGCTCTGCCGCTGGTGGAGGGCAGTTCTGGTCCGTCGCCACCTGGTACCTGTATGGTCAGTCCATCTTCCTTTTATTGAGATTGTACGGACACTGACCTTTCATTCAATTACCAGGAGATAACACCTTCTTCACCACCCCTGTCCAAGTCGGTGTCGGTCAGGTTCTGAACGGTATCGTCGAGCTCGTCGGCACAGGCGCAGGCAACACTTTCAACTACAAGTGCGTCTTTCATTGTCCCCTCCTATCTTTTATCTCATCTTCACGCAGCTCGCAATTCACCAACATTGGCGGCACCGCTCTCACCGTCGTCGGCGGTGAGGAACTCAAGTGGGCTACACTCACCTTGGAATCATACGGCGTGACGGGTCCGAGCACGTACCCCGCCGGCTCCACCGTATTCTCGCAGACCAATCTCGAGCTCTCGGATGGTACCTTCCCCTCTATCACCTGGAGCACCCTCAGCGACCCCGCCGACGGTATCTCGACCACGGTCAACACCGGAGGGTCGACTGCCGCTGTTATTACGATTACTTACTAGAGATTTGGGATTTTGAGGTTTTAATGTATTTATTTAAGTAATGGAATGGATGTTTTGCTGTTCACACTGGTCTGCGGAAATGTGTCAGTGTCCTGCTGAACAATAAATTCCCATGCGTCTCCGTCCCTATGACCTGCCATCCCAATCTTTTATACAACCGCTGTGCACCGGGCTGATACTCGCTCGTCTTGAGGTCGATGTATCTGAGACCGGGGTTCAGGGTTCGCGAGTAGGTTGTTACTGCGTCAACGAGGAGAAGGGCGACGGTGTTTGGCTGAGACGACCATCCGGCGGACGGTTGCGCTCTCTTGGCCATGTTGATATTCTATGATATATCAGCAATGAACTGCGCGGGAAAGTAAACCAAGAGACGCACCGAACCCGACGTAGCCTACCACCTCCTCGATATGCAGAGTATTTTTATCCCCTCGAAGTGCGGCCACGAACAGCGCGCTGGGCTCGCTGTAGTGCTTCTCGATGTCGCCAAAGTCGGAGACGAACGCCGACTCGCAGAAGGATCGCATATTTTGTGCGTCCCGGACAGCCAGGAAGAGCGCGAATCCAGCCGCGCAGAATAATGCCCCGAGGACGCTGTCAATGTGTTGAGGCCACGCGAGAGGAGGGTGACGCCGAAGCCAGCGAGGAGGTACGACAGGAGGGAGGGCGGTTTGAGTAGTGCTCGGCGCTGAGCTACGACGGTGACGCTGCCCTCTGTGGACGTCTCAGCTGCCTATCACTCGATTAGCAGTGAAATCAAGTTGACGCACCGCTAGTAACGAAGCCCTCGAGGAGAAGAGCTCGAACTTGGGACAGGTCGGATGGACGAAAACGGCGGATGTAGATGTTTTCGACGCCGGCCATGGTGGTTTGAAACAAGGAACTTCCTTGGCCTAAGGAGGGCACTGCGGACTGCGGCGCGTACGGCTGATCTGATAAGTTATCGGAAGTCGGAATTCGGTCGATCAAGTGATGTCGTGATCTCGTGATGTCGGACTTTCGGGACCGCTTTCTGCTCTTGACCGTCATCATCCGATGCAGCGACGCTAGGCCTTGGATCTCAAAGTGCTCTGGTAGCGTCCGCTTTCCGGCTCCGGGCTCTTCCTCTACCACTGGTCAACAATTTGACGGCACTGTCCATGTCTCCTGCCCGGATGGATGTCTTACATATTGTCTCGACTCCACTCTCGTCAATGCTCGTACCTCACGGAGCCGATCTTTTTCTCATGTCCGCCTTCTTTGTCTATTCGATCAAGCTTCCTTTTCTACTGCCCGAATCGCCCGACTCTGTGTTCACCGAAATCTCCTACATAGCAACTGAAGCTCCCTCATTTCAGAAGCGCCACGTAAAGGCCACTAAGGTTCGTATTACGACGGTCATTTTGCAAGTTTCCATTCTGAATGTCAGAGTTATAGTGCGTCTCGTAAAGAGTCTCAGGTCGTACATTTCATCTCCGTGCTACTTTGCTTTTCTCACCCCAGAATTGATTAGACACGTACAGCAACTCAGTTCCTAATACTGAGCTTCTCTGGGAGAAACCGAGCGCCCAGCGAGTCGCCGAGCTACCGACGCTCAAGCCCCAGTCCTTGACTATGCAGTGATCATTCCGTGGCGTATCTTTCTTATCCCAACACAAGTAGCGCGGCACACGGACGAAAACATGAGGATGCACGCCGCAGTACACCGGCGCCAAGATGTGCGTGCCACCTATCAGACCTTGTCCCGCGGCACTGGATCATGGATGAGATCGGAGCTTTGGATGACTCGAACGAGCTGTCCGCCCAGAATTCTGTGCGTTCGTCCCTCATAATTGGCCGATTGCCTGGATTGGCAATTAGGTGCCATTGAGCTGGAGTCTGCTCGACGCTGCCAAAATAACTCTCGGGCGGCTCCTCCCCACTCCGCGTAGCTTTGGGATTTCCGATTCTACTTGTCTAATGAACGGAGGACGGAGGAGGCTCACGGCAGACGACCTCGAGTCGTATCGGTGGCAGGCGCCGTTTTTCTGTGCTGGTGAGAGGTATTTAGATTCCACAAAATTGTCCGAATCACCAGCTGCGGGTTCCAGGGAAAGAACGACGTCAGGGCCGATATCCATCTATGGCGCGTACCTCTCGACCAGTAAGTCAATACATCATACATGGTCTATCGCTGAGTAAGAGCTCAAGCCGATACAGGCAGATTCTTCTCACAAGCCGAACTCATTCCCAGGTCCTTGGACGACGGGACTCCGTGCGACTGACTCGACTCTTTGGGACGTCGAGGCCCTTGCTCCGGTCGTACAGGGTACGGTGGGCAACTTTTCACTCGTTTATAAAGCCACGCGGAGCTGCCAAAATCAGAACAGCCAATAGAGCGGCACGATGAAGGTCGCAGATGGGAAATTTCTACATCTAGAGCTTGCGTTCTGGATGTCATATGCTCGCGTGCTCAGGACTCGCAGCTTCTGGTGGGAACGTGTTTCAGGAGGATTCCCCGGGGTGCGGGACGCTGGCTGGCCTGCGGGCACGCGAGGCTGGGGGCGCCGGCAAGCAATCGATCTCGTCCACCGCCAGAGACTCGGCACGTCCAGCTCAGGGACTGTCAACCTGTCACCTCAGAGATATTGCGATGTTCACGCCTCGAGGTTACGCAGGGAAGGGAGAAGAAGATGAGCGGAAAGTTACGCGGAGAATGGCTTGATCTCAAGATTCTCCACAGCCAGTCTCCTTGAATGACCGGATTTTCCCAGGCGCCTCACGGCTACCCTGAGCTGCAAACGGAGGAGATTAGGCGCAAGTTCGGGGA